CTGTATACATACATATATATTTATTCTACCCCTTGCCACCATTATTCTTCTCATACCGCAAACTTTCAACCCCTAATTTTATTTTTCCTAAAGATTTTTTAATTTATTATCGAGTATTTTATTCATTAATACCCATTTTATTTTTTACATCATTTAAAATATACATTCAATTATATTTTATAAAATTTTTAAGTAGATGTTTGATTAAAAATTAAAAATTTTTAATACTAATAATTATTAGCGAAAGCTTAGCCTCCGGAATGTTAAATTACTACGGTATAGGATCGCGTGATGGAGCGCTTCCTAAAGGAAAAGAAACAAAAAAGCTCAGGATTAAGAGCCCGTGGCGCTATTTGCATGTTATTACCTTGTTTACATATTTATTCAATAGACTATGAGCCGAACAAACAAAACACCTTAATACTGAATGTTAGACATTCTTATTTTTTTCCATTTAAACTCTGAATAATCCCGCTTAATATATGCTAATTATTTATTAACACATATTTAGATGAAAATAAAAATGTTTTTTTTTTTAATCAATAAATCATACCTGTTTGTGCATTTCCACATTGAGTCCGTAGGACATCTCGTAATACTGTAAATAAAAATAAATGGGATTATTATAGACAGATAAATGTTATTAGCTGAGTAAAAATGTGTATTTATGTAACTGGTGTATGATTTGTCTATCTGTCTGTCTGTCAATACATTATGTATGCACACATGTACATGTACAGACGACTTGTGTACGTGTTATCGTGAAAATGCCAATGAAAATGTATGATTCATGCAAAGCGTGATTGATTAAATGCATGGCTCAGTAACTCGGTACTAGTACGTGTCATATATAACATGGTAATACATGCCAATTCCACTTTTCATCTTAAAACGTTACGTGTAGTATAGTATGTAGTATGTAGTATGTAGTATGTAGTATGTAGTGTCGGATATATATTATACACATATATAATAGCGAAATATCCATAAATGTGTATCGTGTATCGTGTACCGCGGTTTGCCAGAGGCCCAGAGGAAAGAGGAAAGAGCCATAAATATTACATATATGTATATACACATATTTATCTATATAATATTTACATATCTTTCATAAGACGGCTCAACTATATATTTTATTTTATTATATTTAATTTATAAGTATAAAAAAGTAAAAAGCTAAAATAAGAGGATTGGGATTCAAGACCGGTTTCTCGTGTAACAACGTTCCAACATCGTGTGTTACAAGTTAAGATATTATTTTATTAGCTAGACACTACTATTTATATATTTAATGCTTTTTTATTCTTAATCTTATTTTATTTTATATTTATAGTATTTTTTAACTCACTATGTTTTAAATATATTATTTACGGTCAAGCGATCCCAATGGTGATTAATTTATTTATTAATTTATTCAGAGATGAATTATTTATTCTACTACTGGATTTTTAGTATAATTTAATTATTCGTCTACAAAGTAGGAGTGTTTTAATTAAATATTAAAGTCTTGTAAGTTAATTTTTGCAAGTGTAAAAATAAAACACTCGGAGAAATAAATGATTATTATTTTTATAGTTATAATAAGTATAAAGAGTAATTATAATATAAATGTAAAATAATAAACGGTCTTTCCGTTGGCGGTTTAGCTGGTAGAATATATATATTTGCGACCTCGGCGAAGAGTTTGAGTGGACGAGCTTTTAACGAGCGTCCCGAATACCACAGTAGTCGTACCAAGTTATCCAAGTACCAACGAGCATTGTAAACGTCTTTTATGAAGATCGTAAAAGAACCCGGCACAGTTCACCGGCTAAATATATCTTTATATTTTTATATATTTTAAAGACTAGACACGACCTGGGCGTTTTAACACCGTATCGCGATATTACTGCCCAAAATAATAAACCTGGATATTAATGGTTAACAATGACAGAAAATGCGATAAGCGATAAGCGATAGTTACTCTTTTAAACCGTGACATTAAATTTTCTTACTCAACAGTTACGATTACTAGCTTGAGAGTTCAAGGGAAATATCCGCGTATACTATTTTTTATTATTATTACAAATAATAAAACATTTAACTGCCGATATTTACAGCTCTCTAAATTTGTTATTCTTAAAATTTCAAATTGTTATTTGTTCTCTTAACTTTAAAATTTAAAACTAAAAATTAACCGATCGAACTTGGCCCCTAAATACTAATTTGGTTTTATTTTCGTTAGTAAAATATTAAATTTAACACCGGTAATTTACTTTTTTTAAAACAATAACCGACGTACATTCGACACCTGTATCCTTGTTATTTTCACGAAGTACTAAAATAATCGCCGGTGAAACAAGAAGAATGTGATAAATAAGGGGAGAATAAATTCGGGGCAATAACTAACACACCAAAGTATTAAAGCGAAAAAGTAAAATAAAAATGTAAAGAAGAATTGCAATCACTTAGGTTAAGTGCTGGCAAGTCTTTTCTTCTTTATTACTTTAGCTTCTCGTTTTTACTCAACACTCAATGCTCAACACAAACGTTGCTCTGAAGACGAAGGAAGCAGGAGTTGTGAGGGAGCACTTTTGGACAATCTGCCGTGTACTATACTAGTGTAAGTACTAGTGCTGTGCCGGGCAATCGTAAAACTTGACGAGCTCGACAATTACATGAGAGAGTCGTAAAGACGTAATGTCCCATGGGAGGTTTAGCTTCTCTTATACTCGGTATAAAATACTACACTGTACTATATTATACTATACTATCGTTGGCTCCGAAATACACCAATCTAAAGCAGACGTAAGCGGGAAACACCCTCAAGAAAATGTTACTGCGTTCAATATAAAATAAATCCCTATCATTTAACTTTTATCTTTATCTTTATTTTTATTTCGACTCTAACTTCCTCTTGTATTTTCACCACTCTCCTTCACGTTATAAGCATTACATTGTTTCACGGATTGCTACTGATGTATCGGAAATAAAGGGGAATTTATATCACATGTGAATACCGTTAATGTCTCGGATCTCGGAAGTGGTGAGCTCTGGATTCTCTGAGTAGAATAGAAGTGAAAATAAAATAAAATTGTTCTACACTATTTTATATAGAGTCCGAGGAAACAGACTCCAGTAGAGACTGGAGTATAATATGAAAACGTGAGTACTGAGTTGTACGGAGAGCAAACGTTCCAAATGGGGTCAAACTGCGCGGAAATGCTCACTCAACAACCAAAGGAAACACCACCATCCACCATCGTGTCCATTTGCTTTCCACTCACGGTTTCTATTCGTGAAACTCGTAGAGACGCTCGAGAGACTTGTTGTTGTTTTATATTATGTTTTATATACTATACGCTGTGTCGAAAAAATATTTAAAATAAAGACGGAGACGTGAAAGACAAAAAGAAAAGAGTTTTTGAATACTCGGAAAACTTTAAAGCCACCGAGTTTGAGTGTAATAGTCAAGTACTGCGTTATACTTGGGAAACTTTTATTTAAAAGACTCTCCGAATGTCTTTAAATGTTTTTTTTATCAGCTCGTCAATGTTTGACGGTTTTACTCAATTTTAAAAGCTCTATTTGGGTTTCATGTTTGACCGTAAAATTTATTTAAAAATTCTATAGTAAGCGCTTCCAATACCAAAAAAATTTTTGACTTTAAATTCAAATTTAGAATTTTTATTTTGAACAAAATGAATATTTTTTAGTCAGTTTCAAGGTTTTTGGTTTTAATTATTAAAAAAATTTTTTATTTGGTATTAGAGACGCAATTAATAATGAAATAATAAAATAATTTTGTTTATAGCACACCCTAGTACAAATAACTCACCATGACGTAGTGGCGCTGCATCTCGGTCTTCTCCTGGGCGAGTTTCTCCAGCTCCAACTTAATACTAAACAAAACAAGCAGGAAATCGAACGTGTAAGCTAAGACATTGGTAAGTGCAGGCAACATTCAAGCAATTATTAATTACTTATAACTTATAATTAAATATTAGGTATTAATAATTAACAATTATCTCTATGATAATAATAATAATAAAATTAGTAACTCGAAACCCTGCAGCAATTACGTTAATTTAATATTTAGATTTTTGGTTGCACGTTTGTAAAACAGTAAATAATTAACTGGGTAATTGATGGAGGGTTTAGAATCGTGTCACTCGGCATCGGGAAGTTATAGTAATGGTAATAATAATTATAACAACAACATGGCGTGGGGGTGAAGTGCACAGCAAGCCGTTAAACATACAATTATTGCAGCCGCAGGAACATCGATAATGATCGTCATGGCGGCCAGTTTCGTGCGGGTTATAATTAATGTCGTCCACCTCTCTTTTATTTTATCGTTTTGTAGTTATTTCATTTATTTATTATTATTATTTTTCTTGTTATCAACTGGAGGTTGTTATCGTCACAAAAGAATACATTTCTCTTACTCCTCACCCCTCAGCCCTTCGCCCTTACAGCATTCCGGCCCTCTGGTTTTCGATATAATAATAGCACTGACGTGCATCATTGAACTTGCATTGAGGTATCTCTATGTTTACTCATGAATATTATACACCGTGTGGTAAACCCGTGAAATTTCTGTCTATCATACATTGTTGCAATATATATATATCTAACTTCCATTGTAATTTTGAGCGTGCAATTTCATTTAGTTGATATGTACTATTATATTAAATATGACATGTCGTTTGTTTAATCGAGTTTACTGTTTTTTATACACTGAGAAAAATAATTTTTATAAATTATTACTCTAGAAAATTTTAACGAATTATTAAATAATCATAAATTTTCTTCAACTAAAATTATATTAGATAAAAAATTTTTCTCTCAGTATAACAAAATGTTTTCATCCAAACTAAATGATTTTTTTGCTAGTACAATATAATAATATGCTGTTAATAATGTCCAATGTAGATGATTAATAGTGTGTGTTTGTTATTTTATTAATTAATAAACAAGAGTGTAAGTGTATTATTATTATTATTATCGCGGTGGCTTACCATCACGTAATGCCTCTGTATCTCTATTTTTTCACTGGCCAGTTTCTCGCACTCCAATTTAAGGCTGTACGGGCAATAAAAATATTATTAATTGAACGCGACGTTCAAGATTAACATGGCCGCGAATGGAAGTTGTTGTTTATAATTTATAACGTGGAGGATAAAAATAATAATACAGTGCGATGAAAAGGAGGAGAAAGGGATAAAGTACCTTGGCAGTACAGTGGAAATCCCGAGAGATATCCTGGGACAGCTATCGCGGTTTAGGTCGTGAAATGCTGTCGTAAATTTAGCCCCATTTTACTGGTATGTATATATATATATATATATATATATATATATAGTAAGCACCCACTTTATACCTTCAACATTTAAATGTAGAGCCGTATGTCTGTGAGTAGTTTATCTATTCGGTGAGTCGTCTCATACGTACTCGGCAATCATATATATTTATATCTATACGGTGTCATTGCTTTGCTGGTATAAATTTATGAGGGATAGAGATATAAATTCACGGACCGGTGGATGTAATTTTGTAATTTTATTTTAATAAATTCTTGGTATTACTACTCAGCTACCGGTCGGTGTTTACTTGATAAAGTAAACTTAATTATTTGCGGATTTTATCGTAAATATATGTACATACTTAAGTACTCTTATCACCAAGTTATATTTTAAATTAAATAGTTACTATTAAAATACAATTAAATAGTCATTAGTTGGATGGCTTTTTTTCATGCATATTACCGACTACCGACTCCTGACTACTAAAGTAGGTTGAAATAACTTTTATGCTAATTTAAATATGTTTAATTTAAATTATAATGTTTATTCGATGAATTCTCGACATAACTTTACTCAAATTATTAATATTCATTATCTAGTTCCATTTTAGCTTTTTTTTTTCTTCCAAATTTGTACGCTGAATTTAATATAAGATTATTAATTAATTTTCAATAAGTAATTACCGAATAAAATTTTAATTTCGTTCAATAGCTAATTAAAAAGATATTATTAAATTTTTTATCAGGTCGAATAAAAAAAAAAGGATTCATCGCACTGTATTATAATTAATAATAAAGCTGAAAATTTTAAAGAATAAAATTAACACAAGTGACAAAAGCTATTAATCGTTTTACTCGAATTAAAGTACTTTTTAATAGAACAAACTAAAATATGTGAATGTACACAAATAATAATGTAGTTAAAAGCTTTTATCAATAATGAATTTATCGTAACATCGAGCCAGATCACAACCATGAAATTGCAGTTTATTCGCCGTCGAGTAAAAAAGGTATTTCATTTTATTTTATTTTATTTTGTATTTTAGAGGATATATATCGGTAAATAGTGAATCGGGGATGACAGTCATCAACGGACCCAATGTGCGAATCGATATCAATTTAATGGAGACTCGTGAATCGTTTGCCAGATACGAGCTGCTACTGCTGCTATCCGGGCAATCCCCTGGGCTATATATCTGTATGAATATAAATATAAATATATATGTATGAATAGAGTACAGAATCTTCTGTATGCAGAGCTTCCGGTTGGACAAACAATTATCTACGCCTGACCAACAGACAGCCAGAACATTTTGCTTGTGTCCTCCACATGCGTTTCAATACTCCATACACCAGTAAACACTCAACATTTTTCACTACATCCATTCTTATATTTATATTTATATTTATATGTGTGCCATAGCCCAGAGGAATGCCAATGAAGATATGTGTTTATTTATTTGCCGTGGGAATTGCCATTCGCGTATATATTTTTATGCTTGAGAATCACTCTATAAATATATCGATAACAGCCCAGCAACAACTCGGTACATGACAGTACATGATATACAAATTGAAAAACGAATCATCGCTAGTTTTTCAGTTCTACTTTTTTAATTTTTTTTTTTTTTACAATCAACCGATGATTCGTTTTTATTTATTAAAATAAAATATGATACTAAAGTTTGCCGACATTTTTAATTTTTTGATTTTTTTTTTTAATAATTAAATTAGAACAAAAAAAACTTTTGTTTAAATTGCACTTACAGTTTTTGAAGTTTTTTACAAGTGAATTTTTTTTTTTATTTTTTTGTAATCATTTTTTCAATAAAAAAAAAAATTCTAAAAATTTTCAAATGTCGGCTAAATTAATTTTCATAAATAAATTAAGTATATCAATAAAATAAATAATTAATAAAAATATTCACCTGTGATATTGGGCCTGAAGAAAATTAAATTCTTCCTTTATACGATCGCATGACTCGATTACTGTGAATTTAAATGGCTGTCCTGGTTGAGGTGGTCCCTGAAAACAAAATTTATTTATTATTATTGAGTTATCGATAAAAATTCTAACATCAATTTTAGATATTACTTTACAATAATTTGATAAAGTTTTTTTTTTAATTTTTAAATCAACTACCATGTCTCTAATATAAAACATGATTTTTTTTTGAGGGAATAAACTAGCTCGTTTTACCCTCGTGTATTCAGTTCTTAAAAAGAACCCAGCGATACTCCCACATATTACGGACATAAAATCGGATGAGCTTGTATACATGAAACCTACTCGAAGCTAGAGTCAGTGTATAACAGTCCGCTAAAATATTAAAAGCTAATGTGCTTAGTTTCTCACATCCGCACTTAATTCGATTTACCAAACATTCCTCGTCCCTGGTTTGCTGTTTCTCTGAAGGAAAAAAAAATAATAAATAAAAAGTGAGCTCAATAAATTAAACGCTTCGCCCGGGAAAAAACATTGAAACCCACGGACCGCAGGGCAAATAAATAAAAAAGTAATTTTGAAAATCCGGAGCTTTGAGAGTAGGCCAGAATGGTGTTTTATCGAGTAAAAATCAGGAAATATGTTAAATGTATATAGAATTGAAATATCGGTAAATGGCGATCGGTGTGTGGAATCCCAGATCCTATTTGTCTGTAGAGCAAAGCCGATCGAGCCAATCCAATTTATTTATTGGCTTTTGGCCGTAGCAACCGTGTCTGTAACAGGCACACATGGACTGATATACAGATATACGGGTATGTGTGTAGTGTGAACCACGATATGCAATTATTTTATACGTGACCGAAACGCTAGTTTGCGTGTTTGTGGTTATGTGAGAGTAAGGGCATTCATTTTATATTGCAAGGCAAACGTTTCGTGTAAACACTAGTCTGCTAGATACTCTATATTGTATACTAGATAAAAAAAACTCGTTAAATATATACACCCAACCAGAAATTTAAGTTCGGCGGTGGTTCGTTCCGAATTTGGCATGCCAAGTTCCAAGCTCGCGCCGAATCAGGAAGCCAAAGTTGGCCCAAGTCCCGGAAGTAACGCAGTCGCGAGTTTGGGCCTAACTTGGCTTCCGACTTAGGCGGTGGTTTGGAAACCACACTTGCTGGTGACTATCTAAGCCTCATTCGGTCCGAATTTGGCTAACTATAACTAGGCAGCAATTCAGAAACCAAATTCTCACGGAAGAATCCAAATTTAGTCCTTTCTTCGTTTTTAGCTACTTTTATGATAAAGCAAAAATTTATAATAATGAATGCTTATTTTTTTAATTTACTTTTAAAATTTTAAATATTAATATTGACTTTAGGACGAATTTTTAAAAATACTGAGTAAATAAAAAAAA